TGGACCAAAGGGCCATTCCTTATTGCAGTCTATAAGGGACCTTATATAAATCCTGCTGAATACAGCAGTGGACAGTTCATGGCTATGATGATATTGATTGGTATGATTTACTCTATACAGTATTCTAGAGATTATTATAGAGAGAAGGTAGACTTATCATTAAATACAAGTATATAAAAGTATCAATTTTTCACTGTGCAAGTAAAAATTTCGCTACATGAACCTTCCGCTATTTATTTTTTGCTATGTGGACGATTTGTACCGATAGAGCAATTGCAAGGTGGACTAAAGGCTCGTAAATCTTCTTTATTTCATTCCAGCGGTACCCGTAATATCGATTTTCCAATCTCGTTTTTATTTCCTTTGTAATCCCTACTAAGATTATAAATATGGAAGTCTGTTTTTTACATGGCTGCCCAAAAAATTTATGTAATATTTTAAGGGTTCATGTATGTACGTATATACGTGAATCTCTTTATTATAGTATAGATTTTAAACACATTAACAGAATTGGATGCATAGTATCGTTAGACCAAGTGGTACTAGTTATAATAAAAAAAAAATATATCGCGGCTGTATGGTGCTTGTTTCAAATGTGAAATTTTTTACTTCAATTATTTACATAAGAAAATATGTCATATATATATAAATATGTTATATAAATAAATAGTTGTGTTTTACGATTTAATCACGTTCACTTGTTTTTTTTTTAGTGCTTAAAAAGCTCAAAATTTCATAACGAAATTTGACATATCTCAAATTTCATGATTTCAATCAATCTATTTATACATTACTGTTGGACAATAAAATTGATTTTGAAGTTATATTTTTTTTATAAAATAGCCAAAATAACAAGTGGATTTATTTTACACAACTACAATAATAGTTCTACTCTCATTTTTGTTTTCATTTAGTTTTGTACTCTTTTAAAGGTGTTCAAAATAAAGTGTAATAAAACAATAAAGTGTATCTATCTCTCCTCTTCTCTTCTCTTTTTCCCTCTCGAGTTCTTTAAGAAATGAAATGTATAGAAATATTAATAAACTATATTCAATTTTCGCCACTTAAATCCTTATTATACCATATCCAACTTGCATACTAATGAAATATTGTAACTTACTCATAAACAATATATCCTAAAACATCCCACTAATATGTGAGATTTGCATATTCAAAATATAACATTACGTCACAAGAGTGTTGCAGGTAAGTGGAGTATTCTGGAAAGAGTTTGTTCCATTTTAATAATCGTTAAAATACATTATTTTAATTTTTATAACAGTGTAAATCTTTTCTTTAATTTTTCCCTGATACATTTAGAACTTAATTTTGACCTAGAGAATTTTGACGCAACTATGTTATATAAAAATTAATGGAATTATGGTGATAAGGTGAAAAAAAAATTATGATAAACAGAATGTTATTGACTCCTTTTACCTAAAAGTCTCCCTTGGTTATTTTTTCTCTAACAAGCGTCACTATTTGAAAACGTAAACTATTGAGTTCCTCGTATTTTTAAATCAGTTTAAAATAATGAATAACATACCTGAAACCCAAACTGCAATTAATAATTAGATAGATTACGTTATATGTAAGGAAGGAGTCAAAAGTTTATGCAAGAGTGAGATAGAGATAGAGTTATTTTTAGCACTCTATTTCTCTAGCACTCTATTCCCCTGCCTGTCCCGCTGAGACTTAGCATGAATTAAAACATATAATACCATAACGTAGAAATATCAGAATACGCCCACAAACAAAATGGGATCTCATTGAAACACAAATTGAATCCGTCGACGAAGCAAGTGTCCCTTTTCGGGAATTTGCATAAGAAATGGGCGGTGACGTCACACCACACCTAAGTTTTAACTCCAAGTCTTCGGAAATGGATTAAGTGGATGTGTAGGTTTAATAAATGTATTCACTGTTTGGTGCTTGACAACAGTGGGAGCTCTGAACAAAGACGTCTATGCAATTAGAAGAATTAGGCAATTAACAGACGTGGCGACGGCTAAACTTGTATATTTTAGTTATTTCCATAGCATAATGTCTTATGGCATACTGCTGTGGGGTAAAGCAGCCGATATAAATACTATATTTGTTTTACAAAAGAGAGCCATACGTTCTATTTATGGTATGGGTTCAAGAGAGTCATTACGTCAGTGCTTTAAAGACTCAAATATCCTCACAGTTACTTCACAATACATTTATGAAAATATTATGTATACACGGAAGAACTTAGCGAGTTTTAAAAAACTCAAAGACTGTACAAGTAGAAACTTACGCAATATAAATAAGCTTATTTTACCTAAATGCCGTCTGCACAAAATCAGTAATTCATTCTATGGTAATTGCATAAGATTTTATAAGCCCTCCCTTGCTAACAAGTTGTTAAACTAATCGTCGCATAGATTGTTTAAGTGCAATAAAGAATACATATACATCTGGAATTCAGCACAATGGTTTCCAGGGGGGTTCGTGTGGAGATCGACTTGATAGCTTATATTATTAAGGGACTGCTAAATGCCGTCTAAACTGCCGGAATCTGCATTAAATCTGACAGAGAGGCAATTCAAATCTTATATTAAACAATTTTTATGTAAGAAAGCCTATTACAGGATAGACGAATTCATAGATGACAACATATCAAGTAAATAATTAGTTTATTAGCATACAACGTTATAATTTTATTTTCTCATTGCTTTCTTGATTTAATTGATTAATTTTAGAAATATGAAAGCGTAGCGGTTTTTTGTATTAATTGCCGCATGCATTCTTATGTAAAATGTGAATACTATAACTATCAGATGGCAATTGTGAGTAGCTTTGACGTGGTCTAGTGTTTTGAGTAGTCATGCTCACTAAAATGTCCAGACTTGTGGCGGCGTGGTGGGCCGGGTCATTGGGCTCCCTAAAATATGGTCGAGCGCAGTGATGGCTGGCTCATCCGTCATACTCGTGAACGGGTGCTGCTTGTAGGGACTGGTCTGCTCTAATCACTATGACTGATTTCCTCTTATTAATTGTTTAACCAGTTGGTTATGTATTCAATTTTTTTTTTTTTTTTTTTTCTTTTTGAGTATTTAATTGAATTAGTGCTAATTGGTGGTTTGTATTCACACAATTAAACTTAAAAATGTAAAATAATAATAAAATTATTTAAAAGAGCATCACGCAAGTTTCTTGCTCGTTCTTCTTGTGATGAGACAGCTTTCCGAACGAGCGGTAAATTAAAAAAAAATGTAATGACTTTTCAAAAGTGCTTCAATGTAAGTTTATTTGAATAAATGATTTCTATTCTATTCTATTCTATTCTATTCCTTCTCATTACTGACTGTAAGATAAAACACCGCAGTGCAAGCGTTTTATAAGAAAAGATTCTATCTGTCGAGGGGGACTAACCTGGCATCGGTTTCGTGAGTTTTTCTACTGTTGATGATCTGCAGTTCTTCCTCAAATCGTATATGCACGCACACACAAATTCTTACAGGTTCTTCAGGGCACATACAGTTTAAAACTACACAAATTACATTTATTTTACAGGAACAAGCGTACACGCCACCATTCAGTCGGTACTTTTTATTCGTTAAACTAAGGTGGAAGGAAAATAATATTGACGGATTCCAATATTGTAAACAATCTGTGTTTTATTACAAAGAGATTAAGGCTTTATTTTGAACACTGACAATCCCCTTCCACCCCCCAAGAAAACTAGAGGGGAAAGGGATTATCAGTAATGGGACTATCAGTCCCATTTCTAGCAATATACCCTATTAGGTCATCTTCTACGTGGTCCCCCCTAGAAACCATCGTGCTGAATTCCAGGTGTATTCATCATGATGGGCTAACTGACCTGCCCTTTCATCTCATCATCTTTCACTGGTGCCCTGCCAGCGTATACCGTTAGCACAGGCGCTGTTACCATCTATTGAAGTGCTTACAAGAAACAATTATCCTACTATGATCTGTTTCAATAAAAGTTAATCAAGACGCTATAATAAGAATAATTCATCCGATTATTTGGTTATTAATAGGAATTAATAAATTAATCAACAATTGTCAATCCAACAGTATGTGTGCAACATTCTCCTTGGCAAACATAGTAACACATTGTCGAAATGTCGCAATGAGTTATTTCAAGACAATATCACTCACTCCGCTAAAAAGATATAAATACGGCAACACGGCTCCAAGCAATTATCTAATAATTTACTTCAAGATGCCTGGTTTTTTTTTGATGGGTGAAAATGGTATGGTAACGCCGTCTGCGCTAACGGGATACGCTGGCGGAGCACCAGTGAAGGGTGGTAGACGAGAATGAAAACAAGCCAGTTAGCCCATCATGATGAATTCATCAGGAATTAACCATGATAGTTTCCAGGGAGAACTGCGAGGTAGTCGACCTGGTTGGGTATATTGCTAGCAATGGGATTCATAGTCTCCATTACTAACAATCCCTTTCCACCTCAAGATGTCTGGTTAGGTGAACATGTGTCACAAAATATGCGCGAAAAATATTGATAGTCAGTCTTTAAGTGTTGGCAGTCACACACTTACCAATGGTGGCGGAATTAAACAAAATCATTCTAATCAAATAACCAGTTTCGATGTTTGTTACTCAGTATATTTAAAAAAAAAACAATGTGATCCCAGCATAGAATGGGCTACTCCTTTCTTTCCCGTGGATATCGTAAAAGACGACTAAGGGAACGTAATGTGTAAAGGATGGACAGCAGCGTCCTTTTTTAAACATCACCAAAGCCTAACTGCGGTTGTCAACTTGCTTGCCAAACTTAGTATCTACTAGAAAAACCCCCCAAATAAAGGGAGGCCTATGTTTAGTAACGGACAGTTAAAGACTGAAATGATGATGACGATAGTTTGCGATAAAATTTTGTACACTGATTAGATTACATATCTTGGATCGACGAATACAGTGTTTTTTACCTTGATGCAGACAAAACCAAAAATTACACACATAGTTCATTAATAAAACTAGAAAATGTTTTAATAATATAATTTATTTGGTTATCTTTTAATATTTATTAATCTTACATAAATCTTTACAAAATAAATAAGTACATCGTACTCGCTCTTCGACTTTACAAAAGTACTTAATACTGACAATCATCACAATGACTTCATAAAGGCACACGAGAGATGAAAACTAAAGAAGAATGTAATGTAGTCGTAGCGTAATGTAATGCAGTGTAATGTAATGTAATGTAATATATATAGTACATATTACATATAGTATATGTACATTATTTTAATAAACATTTACAAAAAAAAATTGTGTAGCACCAACACTAATCTATAAAAGATCTTCAGGCACCAAATAATTAAATTTTTTTGAAAATGTAAATTAAAAGTTCTCATATCCATTTGGCGCCTAAAATGCAATTACATTGTTCATCAGTGATTTTTCAATAACAAAACTAAATAATGACAAAATTAATGATTAATAATAAAAAATCGCAATAAAATCCATAACTTTATATTTAAAATTTAATTATTGATTTATTAAGTCCTTATTTCAAACGTGTATTATTTATTTTTAAGTAATGTTTTAATTTTGTCTTTTCATTAATCTCATATTTGATTTTAAATCAAATAAATTTTTATCTTTACTATTATAGAGGGCGTGAAAATAAATATAAAATAATATAATTATATACTACGACAGACAAATATACTACAATTAATATATATAAGGAGGAATAAAATATAACTATATAAGGTATGACTTCAAACAATAATTTATATACATGATAATAATTAAGTAATACATATATTATTTATTATAATACAGTAAATATATTTATTCATGAATTTAATATTATCGAATAACAAAGATATTGTCCTGATTTGTGGTTTTTACAAACTTAAAAGATGAGATCTATCCACCTTTTTTTGTCTCTAAATAAACTTTGTTGTATAATAAATAATATTAATATCATTTTTAAAATATTATTTTATAAAAAAAAATATATTTACATTTTTACATTAAAAATAAAATATTCTTTAAATAAATATTTTACACTAAAGTAGCAATTAATGTAAACGAACATACGATTGTGATGTTTATTCAATCAGTTCATTATACAGAATATCCTAAGAAAACTATGATGAAAATTCAAATAAGATTTTATATTAATTATTAATTTGTATAATTACATTATATAAGTAGTATTTACATTAAGTCTACCAATATCAAATGTGTAAAACCATATTACTGACATTATTTTACACATTCGAAATATACAGTTGAGAGTGTCTCTCATTTTATTTGCATAATCATCTCATTATATATTTACTACTACTATTTTTTTTAAACTGTAAAATAGTTCAAAGGTTGTCTGTAATAGATTGCCCTAGCGATAAGACCGCCTTTTGTACTCTTATGTGTATATTTCAATCTGTATTTATGTTACTGTATTTCACTTAAATTATTCACTTGGCATTGTATATTTTTGTTTATGGTGCAATAAAGAGTTAAATAAATAAATAGTACATACATTATCAAACAATATCACTTATAGAATGTATCCATATAAACAAGTAACGAAAAATAATTATTTACTTTATTTAGGAACGATATAAGCCTTTATGGCCTATTTAATAAATAACTTAGCCTATTGGCCTAAGACTAACGGCATAAGTCTTTATTTATAAACGCATAAGGCCACCTACGTACCAATGTAATTCGACATCACATGTAATACATTATATTATATACATAAAAAGCACCTAATGTAAGTCAGCTTACATGCCATTTAAACCACGTGCCACTACAATATTTCTAATATCATAATAAAGTGTTTATTAGCAAAAAATATATTATATTTATTTTTTCAATACATTTGCTTAAATAGAACATTTTATATTACTAATTTTTTTTTTTATATTTTGAAATATTTAACAAATTACAATTATGAAATATAAAACAAAAGTCTCCTAACTGTCAATTAGAATTTTTAATCATTTTGTGTACTTAGATTTACATTGTATTGTTAGACAGTAAATCTCATTTGAACGCTAAGATTATCCGAGCATAACAACTGACTATATATTACCTATACATCTGAAGATATTCGTTTTAATATATTTAACGATTTAATAATATCATAATTTTACATACGGCAACGAAAATGTGAGGCTATTTAAAACATTTTTTTTTTTATAAAAATATACATATATAATAAAATAATTACATATGTCAGTTCCATTTAAACACCTGTTGTGTGAAATTAAAATAATCATTGTATATAAAGGTGGGTAATGTATAGTAATACCTATATATTATAATGACAATATCTATACATATATTGCCCCAATAACACAATAACCAGAGGGAGACTTTGTACAAAAGTCGATTGCTTGGGTACCTCTGTCCCATTCGTGTTTTAACCGTGAAGCAGTTGTGTTTGCATGGCTGTGTTCCGGTTTGAAGGGTGGGATATGGCGTGAATTTACAGGGTACAGAGGAATAACACCTGAGTCCTCAGGAATGGCAACGCATGGGGGGTATCATGGGCGAAACATTATACTCTGTTATGTCCATGGTACTGCTCATGTCTATAGGCGATGGTTACCACTTTCCATCAGGTGGGCCGTCAGCTTGTTTGCCGTTCTATGTTGTATAAAAAAAATATCCAATATATAATATGGAAAAAAAGAACCCGCTCATAATGAATATAGATGTCCAACTAGTATGATCGATATCGCAATGGGCTAGATATCGGATATTACCCATCTATAGTTGTGTGCATTTCAAAATGGTGAATTATAATAAAAATTTTGAAAAATTAAAACATGAAACTCATAACTATTGAGCAATCAAATAAATTTCAAAGCGAACGAAATTTAAATCCGCACTTTCTAACCTATGCCGAGTTGTTTTTTAACAAATAACTTTCACAAACTACAGTAGAATAAAAAAAATCAAGGAGCATTTAATACGAGTATCATTGAGATAAATTTTGTTTTGATTTTCGAGTTATCGCTTCAATAAATGCCCATTAAGAAAATTAACAATCACGACGCTCGGACTTTTCTTACTATAGTTATTTGATTAGAATTATTTTGTTTAATTCCACTACCGTTAGTATGTGTGTGACTGCCAACACTGAAAGATTGAACACTAGAAGTTTCACAACATTCCATATTAGCCATTAAAATAGATAAATAAATAGATAAACACTTTATTTGTGTCATTTATGACACATGTAAATTAACAACTGAATTCATGCAATCAAATGAAATTACATAGTTATAAAAAATAAAACAAAAGATATTGTACAAAAATATGAATCTCCGATTCATCATCATCATATCAGCCTTCAACTATCCACTGGTGAACATAAGCCTCCTCTTTGGGGGTTTGCCAGTAGTTGCCACATTTGGCAGGCCGATTGACAACCGCAGTTAGGCTTTAGAGATTTTTTAAGAGAAACGTTGCTATCCATCACTCGCCCTCTCTTAGACGATTCTTACGACACCCACGAAAATAGAAGGGGTGGCCTATTCTATACCGGGATTACATGGCAATCTCCGATTACCACTTGGAAATTTCTGCAAAAAAACTTTTGCATTTTGGGTGCGGAAAAGTTAACACTTTCGCAGAAGGGCCGGACAAGGCTTCCAGCAGTTTCTAATAATATGCCTGAAGATGCCTCGTTTAGAGGTGAAACACGTGACGCAAAATATGCGTGAATAAAATAGCAGTCGGAGGTTAATTGCTAATACGGAAAATTGTGAAACTTCTGGTAGTAATAGTGGTGGTAAATCTTTAAATGTTGGCAATTACACACATACTAAAGTTAGCAAAATTAAACAAAGTAATTCTAATAAAATAACCAGTACTATGAACTTCGGCAAGATAACACCAAGTTCAGGTAAACACTTTCTTACTTTGACCCATTAATATCGCTTTTAACTTTTAGACTTTCGCATTGCATGGTTTAACTTTTACTTTGCGTGGTTTATGATTATGGTTGGTTTATTTCCACATAAACCAATGGCACTTTACTAAAAAAAAAACTTCATTAACATTACATCTAGAACACCTAAAATATACACAGCCTAAACATGGCAATGGCAAATTAATTGTCAAAAACAATTCTACATCACAATTTGGTCCGTTCCGGGAGCGGGGACGGAGTTCTAGTCTCGTACGCGTCGAATAGTCTACTATTGTTTACATTCACCGGAGTGGGCTTCACTTCGTTGATTTCCTGCACACTTTCAACCACAGTCTCTTCAGTTTGCTCCGATGTGTCTTTCTGTTCTGGAACCTTCTCTGCTTTGTCACTAGTGTACTGACGTTTGCGTCCAGGCCATTTTCTTGATAATTTAGCAATTAGCGGATGTAGAAGTCGCTCGTCGTACATATCTGTGTCTTTGGCCGTGATTAGACTGATTATAACACCAAGTGTCACACATGTGATTGTTCCAATCACCGCGTACCACATGTAGGAAATTGAATACATTGTGTGTAAACCGGAGGTTCTGAAAAAAATATACATATTTGAATAAATTTTTTACATTATAGTTTTATTATGCAATTTCGAATAGCGAACAAGCTAAGGGCCAGCCTGATGGACAGTAGTAACCGTCGCCGTAATCATGAACAGTACCATGTATATTACAGATTGGTCATTATTATCCATGGTTTCTGCCTACCCTAATAGGAGACAAGCGTGACAGATATGTATTTACATTATTGAATATAATGTAAAATGTAAAAATTGTAAATAAAATATTACTTCTTCATTTATTACAATAATATTATAAATTTTAAACTTATTACAAAAAATACTTTAATACATTGTGTGTAAACCAGAAGAGGTTCTTTAAAAAATTGCACCTTATTTTAAATACAATTTATTCATTAATTTTTATTTAATTATTAAATTTTAATTTAATACAACATTAAACATTAATTTAGTTATTATAATTTATTAGGAAAACTTTGAATAAATTATTATAATTATCAGGAATGGCAATGCTTGAATAGTATCATGAATGGCACAGTATACTCTGTTATGTTCATGTGTATAGGCGACGGTTACCACTTACCATCAGGTGGGCCATCAGCTTGTTTGTCATTCTAAGTTGCATAAAAAAAAATTAAAAAAAATGCTTTTACAGGGTATGGTCAGACCATCGACCAGATGTACTTTTTAATTATTATTTATATTTAAAAATTAAATATAATTTGGAAACAAATTTTTATGATATAATATAAATAAGCATAAGTACGTATTGGTTTCAAATTAATATTATAAAAAAAATGTATATACACATACATATCTTAAATAAAAAGGTGGCCATTTTCAATTATTTAAAAATGAAAACATGTTTTATATACACTGTTTATTATGTTATTATAAACATATTGGTAATTATTTTATCGTTTTTTAATATTCAATTTAATTTTACAATATAATTTCTCCAACATACTCAATAATATATGTACGTTATGGCAACCCTATTCACACACACACATGGCTAAAGTTGACCTGTTTTGGCAAAGCATTTGTATGGAGACACTGTATCTATACAATTTAAGTGTATATCTATATATAAGAAAAGGCAATGTTGATAATGAATCATAATATCCTATACTTACATCACAGACTCGGCCGGTTTCTTGACAGGATGGCTGTGATTCATGGCTTGGAACAGCGGTGCCAGTTGCAATAGTGTCTCGTTCACTCCAATAGGTAGAGGTTTGACATTGTACAAGCTTTTAGTTGAATTTGGACAGTTCTGGAATTAAATTTATTTTTATATGTAAATCATATTTTTTTGAATTTATTATAATATTATATCTGTCTGATGGTAAACGGTCACTGTAGATTATGAACGTCTGCAACACTAGGGGTGTCACGTGCACGTTGCTGATCATGTGTGTTTGAATTTCCGGTGTTTCTATAATTTGGTAATCTCAAAAATCTCTCGTAAATTATGTTAATAAATTTAATTATTTTTACCTCTACGGATAAAGGCAGCATCGCTACACTTTTGTCCACATACATCAGCCGGCCAGCTGCCATCCAGGTGGTGATAAAATGCGATGCCAGCATGCCAATGGTAGCTCCTTTCCCGTTAGCCATTGGGCATATGGTGGCCAGTATGAACACCCCCAGAAGGGCCCCAGAGGTTGCAGATGTCACAAGCAGTGACCCTTCCACAACGCCCCCCACTATTCCGACGCAGAGCGAGAGGCACATGATGAGTATTGCTGGAAAGAGACAAACGAATACTTTGAGCTATTTGAAGACATTATATTCACTGGTAGACACATTAATACACGTAATGTCCCGGATTCAATTCCCGGTCGTATCATTTCCCGGTTCTTACCTTGATTTCTTGTAACACAAGATCTTCTGATTAAAGGATTAGGTGATTGATACAATCGTGAAGTGCTCTTCATTTTTATAAGAGCCATAAACTGACCAACCCGACTCTAACCCGATTTTGTTTTATATTGCTAAAATATATTTGAAATCTCCAAGCTCTAAGTTGCTCTACAGTTATAAAGAGTTCTATGAAACAATCCGCATTGAAGACACCAGCAGAAGAATCAAAAATCAAGAGAATTAGTAAGTTTACTAGATCCAGTACAAAGACATGTGCTTAAGTACTTAAGGCTCATTTATTATTCTTCCCTGAAATTCGCTTTACTTGCATACTGTCTTTCGGTTTGAAGATTAAGATATCTTAGTAAAATTATTGGGTGTTGGTTACTCAATATATTCATGATCCAAAAGTCTGCAACGTCTAAGTAATATCTTTGGTATCCCAAGTATTCATAGAATAGTCAGTATTTACCATTAGTGGGACTAAATGCTTGAATTATTAACGAGGGTTTTTAAAACAAATCTTGCCTTTGGTCGATCGAGGTTGGGATAGAATGAAAAAGCAAAACCGTGATTCTAACTCTATGGCCAAAATTGAAACACCCTAATCGGTTTTTCGTCCCTATCGAGAAAAGTCTCTAAACAAATTCCTTCAAAGCTTGTAAATTTTATAAAAGTCCTCAGGAATGGCAACGCATGGGGGGTATCATGGACGTAACAGTATACTCTGTTATGTCCATGGTACTGCTCATGTCTATAGACGACGGTCGCCACTTTCCATCAGGTGGGCCGTCAGCCTGTTTGCCATTCTAAGTTGTATAAAAAAAACATTAAGAAAAAAGGACTAACCATAAACAACTCCAATGATCTTGATGACAGTCAGTTGCTGTTTATCAGTGGTGCCCTTGAAAGCCGGAGCGGCGGATACGAAGTCCTCCCACGTCACAGTTGCCAATGAGTTTACATTGGAAACCAAGAAACTGGAAACCGAATTTATTTATTAAATAAATTTCACTGCATTAGGTGTTATTTTATGGAAGTCCATATCATTGGGTAATTGATTAAAGAATGCAATCATCAGATATACAAGAGTTAGTAAAAAAATCAACTTTTCCGAAAGATGGCAAAAGAAATTAATGATAACACCTTTAAACATTATTCACCATCATCATACCAGCCGGTAATTGTCCACTACTACATATAGCCCTCCCCCATAGACCGCCTTTGCCATGGGGGGGGAGGGTGTTGCTAAGTGTTGTTACACTTGGGCAAGAGATTTGGCAAGTTAGGCTTTGGTGATGTGGTGATTAAAAACTTTTACAATAATAAAATTTCTCTAAATTACATCGCAAATAAATTGCTGTATCTCACCTCAGTGCACCGTTGAAAAGACTGCCCAGAAATAGACCCAGCATACCGGGCAAGAAAGAGAACTGGTCTTCGACATAATAAGGCAGGACTTCGTCCGGCGCCGCGATGCTCCCAGACGCAAAAGGATCACAGTACTGGTACACAGAGTACAGTACCATCCCAACGATCCAGGATAAACTGAATAACACGCTGACTGCTGGCACGTTGGCTAGGAGCATCCTCCTCACTTTGGACTCATTGGATAAGGAGCAGTATCTTTGGACGAAGGTCTGTTGACATCCATATATGGATAGAGACATGAATAATTGGCCAATGAACGCTGAGAGGGTGTCAACACGCACTGTCGGGTCTCCAGTGAACCTGTAATTAAAAATGGAGAATAGGAGATAATTTTTTCATCATCGTCACCATACCAACTGCCATTTAACCACTGCTGAACATAGATCTCTCCCATAAAAAACAGTTCTAAGCCACCACATATATATTGTCATAATTTTTTACCAGAGAGAAAATGTCCATGGTACTGCTCATGTCTGTAGGCGACGGTTACCACTTTCCATTAGGTGGGCCGTCAGCTTGTTTGCCATTCTAAGTTGCATAAAAAAAAACTATTAAATTCGTAATTATATCTGACATAGTTTTATTAAGGGGAGGGGGGGGGGGGTTAGTAATGTTGACTACCAGTCTCATCGTGCTGAATTCCAGGTGAATTCTGTCTGCCTTTTTTTTCTTTTTCTCACCTATCATTCCATAATGGTGCCCCACCAGAATATACCGCGCAGGCGGGGTTATCATTCCATTATCAATCATTCAAAAAAAGACAGTTTTATTTTTATAATTACATACATTTTATGCGTGAAAAAAAAACCAAATCAATACAAATGTACTCATCATCATCATCATCATCATCATGATATCGGCTGTTAAATGTTCACTGCTTGAATATACTACTACTGCCCACTCACTACTCTCTCCCAGTCAACCATAGGGAAGTGTCAGAATACTCGAATGCGGTACTAGTAATTATTGATATACATACATACTAAAATTACATATATAAACGTATATATAAATAAATATATATGAATAACAAATATACTATTAATATACAAATATAATATATTATTATCTCTTATCTCTCCTCGTTATTGGACATTTTCATAAATACAAAGATTTGTATCGCGCGAGGACTGAACCCGCAACTACTTTTTTTATAACATGACTTTAATTTGTTATTACTAGTGATTGTTGGCACTAGGTGGTACTTTGAACACATAACTGATAACGTTACTAAAATAAAAAAAAAAACACTTATTTTTTTACATTTTGTGGAAAAATACGTACTTTTTGCAAATAATATTGACATGATACGAGTTTAATTGCTTCATTTTGTTTTCTACTGTTTATGTACGCGACTTCGTTTATGTTTTTATAGTATTTTTTTTTTTTATTTTTATAAGCAACTTCAAAAAAAGGAAGTTCCACGTTAGACTGTTTGTATTTTTATTTGCTTTGTTATTATTTAGATAGTCAACTTTCACTATTGTTTTATTTTGTTGTCACTTTATGATAATATTAAAGAAATAACATTTTAAATTCTTTGACGGGTATTTTTTTTTAATTCCTATAATCTTTATATTGACCAATAATTACTTTAATACACACTTTTTCATTACAGTTCAACCATTTCCTCATGAACGCTAACGTACAAACAAACAGATTCATAGAGGGGAAAAGAATTGTTAAGAGAAGAGAAAAGAACAGCCCTACTGCTAGCAATATACCCTATCAGATCGATCTCCACGCAATTCCTTCTGGAAACCATCGTAGGTGATTGTGTGGAAATGGGTGATAATGCCTGCGCTAACGGTATACACTGGCGGGGCACCAGTGAGGGATGATAGGTGAGAGTGAAAAGGCAGGTCAGTTAGCCCGTCGTGATGAATACATAAGAATTCAGCACGATGGTTTCCAGGGAGGACCGCATGGAGGTCGACCTGAGAGGATGTATTGCTAGCATTGAAACTGGTAGTCCGCATTACTAACAATCCTATCTCTCTTTGTACTTACTTATTACACTACTGTAACAACTAATATGTACCATGTGGCATGCAAATAAATATAAATAGATAAATAGAAATAATACCCACTTGAAAAACTGGAGCCTGCCCCCCGCTATATTGCCTTGTACTACATTCTGTGGTCCGCCAGCGCGAACAGTTCCTTGTATTATGAACGCGGCGCTCACTAGAATCATTGTTGTTGTTTGTATCACGTCAGCTCTGAAAGATAATATTTGAACATTTAAAGAAAATATATTTATATATAATATATATAATTAAATAAACAGTTTATAATTACTCCTCTCCATCCAAAGATTGCTTGGAAGAGATCGCTCTTAGCGATAAGGTCGCCCATTGTTTTCTCATTGTTATGTCTTGTAATTGTTTATATTTATAATAAGTTTACTATTGTAATCTTTTGGAGGAAACAATAAAAAGTCCCACGAAATGGGTCACCGATTTCGTTCCCGTGCGTGTTGTAAGAGACGACTAAAGGAGTGCGAGGGATGGGCAGCAGCGTCCCTCTTAAAACATCTCTAAAACCTAACTGCGGTTGAAAATCCGCCTGCCAAGCGTGGCAACTACTGGCGAAACCTACCAAGGGGTGAGGCTTATATAAAAATCAACAGGGATATGGCGTGAATTTACTGGGTACAGAGGAATAACACCTGAGTCCTCAGGAATGGCAACACATGGGGGTTATCATGGGCGAAACAATATACTCTGTTATGTCCATGGTACTGCTCATGTCTATAGGCAACGGTTACCACTTTCCATCAAGTGGGCCGTCAGCTTATTTGCCATTCTAAGTTGTATAAAAAAAAAACCTTAATTTACATAATGCAGATACATAAGTATTTAGGGAAATTATTAAATAACTTCCCACCATTATTTTCATTTAAGCTGTGTTTTCCTCGCGTAAACCCTTTTTTTCCTTTCCTAAGAAAATTTCAAATTTATACAAATACTAGATGTTATTCGTGGTTTTTCACGTATAATATCGTATTAAGTTTAAGTCGGAATTATCAAAAAACCTAGTATATAATATTAAAATAAGATATTAATCGGAAACCATTAATCTAATTTGGTTATTTACATGTAACTAAAGCAAACTGACGCAAGTTTAATTGTAGTTTAACAACGTTCCAAATAACTGTTTCTTATTTAGATAATTCGCTGTACATCATTATTGTATTGTCAAATGTAATTTCAGATGAATCATATTTTATTTTGTCAAAAAATCCCCGTCTCGTTAAGACAATATTACATATGAGGACACACAAAAAATGGACAAATCACTCACAGTTCTCACACGTAACAATGGATATTTTGAAAATAGACTTTAAATATATTTAGAATTTTAATTTTGGACTTGTCTTAAAGTTCATATATTTATTTATTTATTCATTAGTACAAATATGTGTACATGGCGAACTTAAAACTTAAAGCATTCTCTCCCAGTCAACCGTAGGGAAGTTTCAGAATACTCGAATACGGTCAAAAGTACTTTTGATTTATTTTACTTTGACTGGTTAAGAGTTTTGACTGCAACATACATACGTAAATTTGTCATTATAACAATCTGCCATTTTTGTAAAAAAAAAATTAAGTATGATTTTTTATCTTCTTCTTTTACAACTACAAATAATATATCTAAATGGTCGTAGTCAAGGACGTTTATATTTTTTCCAAGTTATTTCCACAGTTCATCTCGTTATGTCTCTGGAGTTCAGTAAATATGTTATTATTCTAGCTAACGACCTTTAACTTAGAACTTCAAATAACCACAAAACCACAGATACTAAAGCGACTTTTGAACCAAAAGTGTGAAGTTGTGAATAAAGTAAGTTCTTTATATTGTCAACTTAATCTTACTATTATAATAAAATTATAACCAGGCGATGCCTATCATCATCATCATCATCATCATCATATCAGCCTTCAACTGTCCACTGCTGAACATAAGCCTCCCCCTTGGGGGGTTTTACTAGTAGTTGCCACGCTTGGCTGGCGGATTTGCAACCGCAGTTAGGCTTTGGAGATGTTTTAAGTGGGACGCTGCTTCCCATCGCTCGCCTCTCTTAGTCGCCTCTTACGACATCCACGAAAAAACATGGTTATTTATGTACATTATTAATTTGGGCTTGCTACCACCATGTGGTCACCCCTAGAAGCCATCATGCTGCATTCTAGACCTATTCACCACGATGGGCTAACTGACCTGCCTTTTCATTCTCACCTATCATCCCTAACTGATGCCCTGCCGGCGTATACTGTCTTTTTTTGTAATGGATGACAATGGAGCGGTAGCCCCACCTGCGCTTACGTATACACTGACGGGGCACTAGTGAATGATAATAGGTGAGATGAAAAAACAGTTAGTCCATCATTTACACATTTAGTAAACAAATTTAGCCCTTTGAGAGTTTCCATTGAAGACGAAGTTACGCGGGTTAAAATTAGCTAGCAAATAATAATAATAACAGATAGTGGAAGTTTGTAGCTAGCTAGAGAGTAGCTTACCTGATAGCAGCTGCCAATCCTCCCAGCAGGTTGAACACAATAGCGACTGCGGTCAACATGGCCGCTGAGCCCCAATGCGGGAGGGCGAGTACCGCGTGCAGTGCCACGGTAGGGGTATACACCGTCACCGACAGGTTGAGGATCTGTCGCACCACGAAGGTGGCGGCAGCGAGCCTCCTCACCCATATTGAATTGAAACGCATCTGTAAATTACACAGATTTAGGGTCCAAAATAAAAAAAAAACTGACTTAAACTATAAGTTCGACTATGACAAAACAAGTAATTTCGATTTAAAACTAAATCACTGAATTGTTTTTAATAAAATTTGTATGAGAACAATTTGAAAATATATCACTTTAGATAAGACAGTATTTTTCAAATCGATTTATAACTGTTTTTATTTGATAAAGGTACTTTTTTAATTATACAGTACTATCATACCTACTTGTACAACAATTAGTCCATTACCCTAAGGTTGCCTTGAAAAGATTGCTCTCAGCAATAAGACCGCCTCACTGTACTTATACAATTGTATCGTTGTGTTTGTAAATTGTCTTGCTTATTTCCTATATTGTATAATGCAAATAAAGTATACTCATTCATTCATTCAATTAATTATATATCATAGTTTAGCAAATATTCAAAAAAAACACAATTAAATTAAGAACTTTTCCAAGTCGGTTGAGAAACTAAGTTATAGAAATAGCATAGTGTGTTCTGTAATATTCATAATGATATATAGAAAAGTCTATAGGCGACGGTTACCACATTGCATTACGTAGACGGTCAGTTTGTTTGCAATTTTGTTTTCTAGAATTTTTGCCTTTTTGTCTGTTCGTTTGTGCGGGCTAATCTCAGAAACGGCTTAACCGATTTGAATATAGTTTTCACTAATGCGTTACAGTTAACTTCATTTAACATTTAATGTTTGCTTTATTTCAATCGGTTCATAGATAAAAACGTTACATCAATCTAAAGAATCACATATAAAATGCTACAAATAACCGATCAGTTAAATTGGCTGAAACTTTATGAAGATAGTTTATTAAGTACGTAATTATTATTTAAGTATATATAATACAATATAAGACCGGATTTATGAAGAGTTCCAATGGTAATGATATAGGGGAACTACATAGAAGCGAGCAACGCCGGGAGAAACAGCTAGTGTATATAGATAGATAGATACTCTTTATTATTTCCTCCAAAAGATTACAATAGTAAACTTATTCTAGATATACAATATTATATATATAAATCTTTTATTATTCTTTATGTAATGCAATAAAGAGTGAATAAGTAAGTTCTTACCTGTAAATACTCGTAAACGGAATTAGTATGGAGTCTATAATAGACAGGAACGAAGAGGAAACACACGAGAGGGAACGCCAGCACGATGCCATACAGCGTCTCCCACATGGCAGACCCTCGGTACACCAGCTCCGATGGAAAGCCTGCAAGAAAACGTCTATTTCTTACTTATTACTATTATTTTTACTATATAAAATTATATATATATTATTTATTATTATATATACATATATGTGGGACCAAATGTTTTCAAAATGAAAATTAGTTGCTCCGTTTTACTATGTATTTAAAATTTTTCTTAAAATTATTCAAAAACAACACCGTTCACCATCTATCTAGAACACCGTAGCAAGAATGAATCTGATCTTTTCAATCTGTCAATCTCACTCACTCATTGCACATTCGTTCATTCTCGTTCATTCTACGTTCCGTTACAAGAAATATTGAATACATTAAAAATATTTCCTACATTTATTTATTTATTACATCCACTAGGTGAGCCTTACAGTCTTCCAATACGCTCACCCAGAAAAGCATGAGTACAATAACATATAAAAAGGAATATTATATAAAAATAACAAAAATAATATAAAAAGATTTAACTCAAACAAAAAACGTCTGAACACAAATACTCTGTAGTCACTTGACGAAATTCCAGCAATTTGGAGGCAAATACATCTAATTGTGGATACTGGCTCAAAATATCATTTAGTAGTTTCAATGCAAGAGATAGGGGGGGAGCCTGCTTAGCCATCTCTGTTCTTCGTAATGAAACATCGAATAAGTGCCGTCTACGTCCTTTCCTGTGGCTGTTGTTAGAGGCGACTTAGGGAGGACGAGACATGGACAGCAGCATCCCTCTTAAAACATCTGTAAAAGCCTAACTGCGGTTACCAACCCGCCTGCCAAGCGTGGCAACTACTGGCCAAACTCCCCTTATGGAGAATGCTTATGATCAGCAGGGGACAGTTAACTGCTAAAATAATAAATATAATATTTATTGGAAAAAAATTATAGTATTGACAAATTTTTTAATGATAAAAAATTTAAATTTAAGTGCAGTATATGTAAATTTAATAGAATGTAAAATTTAGTATTTATAATATTGTACAGTTAATAGAGTACTGATTATTATTGCAATTTTTACCTTAATAAATGTTATGTTTCATTTGTGTAATGTAATTGTATTGTATAAAGTTATTATTTTTTTTTAATTTTACAAAAATTCACATCTCCCCTCTTTAAGGAGAGGAGATGGCAAACTAACCCCCGGCAGAAGCACAGTCGGCCGAGGTTCAGGGCTCCAGGGAGAGAAACCGGCGTACAATGCGGGCAGAATCTAAGAGCATCGCTTTCTACATCTTTCCCGGGAGTGAGCCGCCTCGGAATCCCAACCGTCTGAGATGTTGTTCCAGTCTGGTTGGGATAAGACCGTTCACCGACAAAACGATTGGAATGATTTCGGTGTACGTCACTCCACATATTTCGGTCACCTCGTGAGCCAGGTCGAGATATTTTCTCTTTTTCTCGATTTCGTCTTTCACGAGGTTCTCGTCATGCGGTATGGTGACATCCACATTATTATATTTAATTAATGTTTTGAATAATTAATAATTTGTATACCTTATGATGGTGAAACATACCGTACTTTCTGTAACATCAAACTTATAACTCCACCTATGTTTATGCAAATAAATTATTGATTAATTAGATTGATTTTAAGTGACTTAAAAAAGGAGCTAAACTAGTTCGTATTTTATTTGGGTTAGGCGATATTTTTTTTATACCACGAAGGTGATAAACAAGCATACAGCCCGTCTAATAGTAAACGGTCAATGTATTTTATAGACGCTTGCAACACTAGAGTGCATTTTTTTGTGCATTATGTGCATTTTACCGACCCTGAAGAAATCTTTATTTAATTCCCTTTTAAAAGGCTGGCAGTACACATGCAATGCAGTTGGTATGCGGCGGTAGTCACTTACCATCAGATGAGCCGCATGCTCGTTTGACAGCTGTGTTATAAAAAAAACCCTTTTTGAAAAACCTCATACTGTAGTCTCTAGAGACAATCACGGCAGAGAGGTTCATTCCATAGCTTGAGCGTTCGCAGGTTCATTCTTGTCGAATTCGTCATGATAGGCCAACAGAACTGCATTCATTCTCCACTATCATCCCTCACTGATGCCCCGCCATCGTATTCCAATAGTACAGGTGGGGTTATCATTCCATTTTCACCCATTAAAAAAATAGTATCTATACATTTATTTATTTATACTTTTGCACACATTAAAATATGTGTACAAGGCGGACTTAATGCCTGTTGGCATTCTCTACCAGTCAACCGTTATGATAAACAGAGAGAGTAAATGGCGGCGCACTGGTTTGTAAAACAATTTGTAAATTAATTAAATATTTTGAGAGATAACGACATTAACACAATATAAAATAAATTAACATACAAACATGGAGAATAAAATATATCCGTCTCAACATTCGCATTTTTGCAGTTGGTAAACGTTATAATATTTTTTGTTTACAACACAGGGGGCAAACGAGCATGCGGCTCGCCTGATGGTAAGTGACTACCGCCGCCCATGATCACGCACAACACAAACAGCGTAGCTGGTGGGTTGCCGGCCTTTTAAAAAAGAATATGCTCGTTTTCTTGAAGGTTATGTTGTCGTATCGGTTCGGAAATTCTGTTATTTATATTTTTTAAAACACCATCAAGTATCTCTGCACATCCTAACCCTTCTTTGCATGACTTTTTTTATAGGTGAAATAAATCAAGGAAATACTGCTGTTGGAAGTTGATTCCAAAGAATGGTTGTGCGTGGAAGAAAGCGCCTTGAAAAACGCACGGTGGAAGACCGCGAATCGTCCAGATGTTTTTTTTTATGGGTGATAATGGAATGGTAACCCGCGCTATCGGTATACACCGGCGGGGCACCAGTGAAAGATGATAGGCGAGGATGAAGTAGGTCAGTTAGCCCATCGTGACGAATTCAACAAGAATTGTTCACGATGGTTTCCAGGGGGGACCACGTGGAGGTGGACCTGATAGGGCATATTGCTAGCAATGGGGCTGTCAAACTCCATTGCTAACAACCCCTCCCCCCCCGCCCTCCGTCTAGATGGTTGGGATGAAATTTTAGTTTATGACGGTTTAATTTATATTAAATTATAATACGATAGCTACTGTTGATTAAAATTCACAGCACCATTAAACACTTCAGGTAAACTTGTATAAACATTGTTTTCAATGTTTACTTTGTAAAATAAACAATTTTATCATTATACGTACACTTATAATAAATTTTAAGGAACATCAGCTATGCCTGTGACTTTGTCTGTGTAACCGAGGCCTAGATAATATAATGATTGAAGTATACACAATTTGTAAGTTGTAGCACTTCAGCTGCCCACTAACGAAATGCTTTCTCTGTCAGAGATAAGTCCACCCTTGATATATATATATATATATATATATATATATATATATATATATATATATATATATATATATGTATATATATATATATTCTTATATATATAAAGATGGCAAACAAGCATACAGCTTGTCTGATGATAAACGGTCACTGTAGTATATGAACTCCTGCAACACTAAGGGTGTCCAGTGCGCATTGGCGACCCAGAAGAAACCTTACAATACTCTTTTTGAAAAAACCCATACTGTAGTCTCTAGGGAAAACCTCGGCAGGGAACTCATTCCACAGCCTGAGCGTTCACGGTAGAAAATTCCTTCGAAACTGCACTGTACGTGACCATTTTGGTTCAAGCAATTTGCATTCAATTTATTAACAAAAAGGGTTTAAGCAAATTCAAATATCTTACAATCCGTTCCTGATGAAGTTAAGCATATTTCTAAATTGCTCTTATACGCAATATTCATTTGTAAAACTTCATGAAAATCAGTTCAGCTGTTTCGATATTAGTTCTAATAGGAGTTAATTTGGATATCATTGGTTATTTCTAAATTCCCTATTTATTTTTTATAACATTTGTTAACATTTATTGACTATATCTTGTGTCTTTTTACCCATGAATCTATGTTATCATTAAAGTAACCTACACTTAATCTTGCAATATTTTCTTAGTGAAAAATTTCATTTAAATCCATCCAGTTTTTAAAGCGATCAAGTAACAAACATAGTGTTTGTAAAAAAACATGACATAAATTTTATGTCCCGTCTGATTTCGCGGTACCAAATGAATGTATACTTTCCTTGCATTATACAATATAGGAAATAAAAGAACGTTTACAGTTGTATAAATATAATAAGGCCACTTTAATGCTGAAAGCAATTTTTTCAATATATATATATATATATATATATATATATATATATATATATATATATATATATATATATCTTCATAATTAATTCATAATTCTTCATAAATCGGGAGAAAATTATTTCATACGTATTTTATATTGATTTTAATAGGAGTTCTAACTACCAAGCATCAGAATTCTTAATAAATACGATTCTTCTCATATGAAATAGACTAAAAGATAAACAATATAGGTTATGAGTATAGGCAATGAATTTACAGGGTACAGAGGAGTAACACCTGAGTCCTCAGCAATGGCAACGCATGGGGGGTAGCTTGATCGAAACAGTATACTCTGTTATGTCTATGGTACAGCTCATGTCTATAGGCGACGGTTACCACTTTCTGTCAGATGAGCCCTCAAATTGTTTGCCATTCTAAGTTGCATAAAAAAGAAATATTACAGACTGATCGAAAATTGCGATTTTTTTATGCATATAGATAAAGTGTGAGCAATATGTAGCAATATATATTTATTGTATTTGCAATATCTATACATTGACTCGATAACGAATATATTAAATAAATAAACCTATCCAATATGAAGTACCCGATCAAAATGAATAGTCACTCAGCTGGAATGGGCGATATTGAAATGGGGGATGACCTGTTTTCCAGTATTAATGTGTACAGCAGGGGCTCCCAAATTTATTTTGTCTACTACCCACTTTGAGAATAAATTATTTTTTAGCGCCTCCATTTTATCACCTACTTATAATCTACTATTACTTCAAGATCAACATATCACCCCCCAAGCCTCTACACAACGCCCCCATTTTTTTTC